CCCCAAAACCCCAAAACCCCAAAACCCCATTTTGTATCAAAATTATTGATGCTCCTCATTAGATGTAACATTAAACTCCCATTTCAGAGACAACATCAAGATATTGAATGAAATGTTAGTGGAACTCCTTTTAATACTTATGAGCTTTTTCCAGGATGTTTAGAGAGAACTTCTGTTCATTAAAATTTCCATACTCATCGATGAAGCAGTTATATTCATGATTTGATCCTTCTTGTTTGAACATTATTGAGGCTAGAGAATTGTTGATTATTGCTTCCTTGAGTTCTGAGTTTTTAAAGCTGTTATCCCTAAAATGAGATTTAGCAAATTGAATGTACTGAGTATGCAGTTCCAATGGAATCATATTTACCTGATATTGACTTCTTGTAGAGATTTCTTAAGACTTCAAGTACTGATCATTTTGCAGATCTGATCAATACTAATAGGCTTGACATTTCTTCTGAAAATTCTATAGTTTGAGTTCTTAAAATTAAAAGTTTTGGATCTTGAATTTTACAGCTTCAGGCAATGATACATCAGAGTTTACAATTTCTCATCTTAAGAAATTAATTGTTTGCACATGAGATCATCAAATGAGAGTTTTCTTAAAGCATCTGCCAGAGATTATAAATTCTCCCAAAGTTACCTTTTCAGTTATTGAAAAGAATCATGTAGATAAGATTTTGGAGCAATTATCTAGCCAACCAATTGTGTAGTTCTTAATATTTCCAGCAATGTGAATAACCCTTGATTGTTTAGATTTGTAAAACTGTTTAACATCGGGCATAAGTCCTGAAAACTGTTTATTAGGGTACACAATTGTTAACAATTCTGGTCATAGATTGAATACAAGATAAATTTTATGAGGTACCCTATATTTTAGATAAGATTAAAAATATTCGCAGAGTTACCTTTTTATTCTCATAAATATTGGTGGATCACTTGTGAATTTGAATAAGTCTATTAGGTACTTGAACTTGTTACGGATGCTCTTTTCTAAAATTTCATTAAGAACCTTTTCATTATGTACTAATCCTTGTTCTTGATCTTCAGTCGATTCCATTTGTATATAGTATTTTTGATTGCAATTTAAGGAGGCTAATTTGGGGTTTTGGGGTTTTGGGGTTTTGGGGTTTTGGGGTTTTGGGG